TCCTCTCCCTGACCAGCCGTGCACAGCCCGAAGTCCTGCTCCCCCCTTGGCAGCCCTCCCCAAGGTTGAGTTCAGAACAGGCTTTGCCCTCTGAATTTCAGGGTGCAGCTCTGAAATTCCAAGCTGGGGGCAGGGACTCAGCCCCAACAGCCCATCCTCACCTCCAGTTTGGCAAACTTCTCTGCCTTGTAGCAGGCATATTCCGCATTGATCAGTTTTGTCAGCAAAAATTCCTGGAACTCGGGCCCCTGGGAGCCCCCCGTGTGGAGAAAAGAAAGGGGGAGGGGGGTCAGGCGAACAGAGACAGGAGCTGAGCCCTCTGTCCCAGGCTGGAGTCCCCCGAGCCCCAACTGCTGGAGCCCAGAAGTCGCCCTCTTCACCCCAGGGCACCTCCTTGGGCTCAGCTCCCCAGCCCAGGCACCTGTGAGGGCCCCTGTGCCCTTCATGGCTGCCCACCCCTCAGGAGAGCAAACCCACAGAAGTCAGAGGCTGGGTCCGGGTCCCCGACTGCCTCAGCCTGTGGGGGACTGAAGCCAAGGCTCTAAGTGTGGCTTCTGGGAGGAGAGAGACCTGTGCCCCCTCCCCAGACATTTTAGACGAAAGAAGACTCATTGTCAAAAAGATAACAGAAATGAGGAAGGGCCACAGAGAAGGCTACGAAACATGTAAAAAATGTAAAACAATGACATAGTTTGTTCTGTGCCTTTGTAAATAAAGGTCAGTGTTTATCAAGATAAACAGAAAAGCCAGGCCCAGGTGCACAGCTAGGGGAGCCCAGCTGCCCTGGCACACAGAGGGGCTTCGGGACCTAGTGTGGCAGAATGTGGGACCCCCTCTCAGCCCCCACCAATTTGGTCCTGCCCATGACAGGGCTGGGCAGCCTCTCACCTTCCTGAACACAGCAGGGTCCGGGAGCGGGGGCCCAAAGAAGGGCACGTCATCTCTGGCCGTGACAGAGACCTGGAAGGGAGGGCACCAGTCCCTGTGGGTCCCCACACCCGCCCTTAATTCACCTCCCTATCCCGTCCCATGCTGGGCACAGGGCCTGCTCCTTGGTGGGGGATGTTCAGTGGCTGCTGATAGAGTGACTGAACCCCAGGATCTCGGCTCCCCCATCCTGGGCCCTGAATTTGAGTGGTGGGAAGGGGTCTCAGGAGTCGTCGGGGATGATGAAGGGGGAGGAGGCTCACCTCTTTGAGAGGGGAGCTTTGGGGAGCAGAGAGGGCAGGATGGGAAGCCTCCATCATTGGAGCAAGAGGGGGACTTAGAGCCCTCAGGACAGTCCCCCTGTTTACAGGTGGGAAAACTGAGGCCTCATCCTGGGAGGCCCTGAGATCACCCACCTTATAGAGGGGGCCGCCGGGCCCCCCGCCCTCGGCCTGCACCACCACATAGGCGTGCAGGAAGTTGGACGCAATCATGTCAGGCACAAAGGGCGTGTTCTCATCCTGGAAGACCACAGCGACGATGTCATTCCCGATGTGCCGCTTTCGCTGCAACTGAGCACAGGGCCACGGCCTTCACAACCTGGCCAGGGGGGCCACTGGGCAGGGCGGGGAGAGTTCTGGGGCAGGCAGGGGACACATCTAAGGATTCGCTTCTCCCTCCACAAATGTGGTGAGGAACTTGTCTCCAAATTATTTTCGTTTTCTTGGAATCCTGTGACAGATGAGGCAACTGAGGCCAAGAGAGACATGACTTGCAAGGCCCTACAGTGAGTTAGGGGACTCGAACCCAGGGCTCCTGGTCCCTAGGCCCTACCTCTCAGCCCTTCTTCTAAATACCCCTGACATGGCCCCTCTTGAACAAACAAGTTCCACCCGGTATAAATTCATGTGGCTAAAATGTACGGAAAAATCTTCTTAAAAGAAAATAAAATGACAGTAAAAGTAAGACATAAATATTTTCTTTCTTTTCTCACATTACCGTTTTCTCCCCCTGGGGTGGGGGTGGAGTGGGCTAAGGTAGAGAGTCCTGCAGGCAGCTGAGGGCAAAGTGACAAATTTCTAAGTTCAGCTCCCGGAACACGCCCTACCCTTCCTCGTAGCCAGACCTTTCCAGAAGCCGTTCTCTCCACCTGGAACACCCCCCTCACTTCTCCCAGCTGCTTCACAGCCTAAAAGGCACTTTATCTTGAAAGCTTTTCCTGACTCTCACCTCTGCCAAGTCTAAGTACCCCCACATGACCCCACAATGCCCTTCACTCCCAGTAAAAATAGTCATTTGTTGTGCTTTTGCTCTACCAGATACTCTTCTAGCCACTGTATGTGTATCCTTCCTTTACGCTCACCTATGAGGTAGGTGCCGTTATGAACCTATTTCACAGATGTGGAAACTGAGGCTTTCACAGCTTGTCTCCCTGACACCTGCCCCAACTAGAGCCCATAAGGAGCGGGGAATGGATCACTTCCATCTTCTACATCCCAGGGCCCACCGAGCCGGATGTGGTGGACACTAACCAGACAGGTAGTGGGGGACAGGAGGACAGGTGGGAAGCAGGTGGGTGGGTGCCCAGGCTACCTGCTGGGCGTCCCCTTCTGTGTAGGGCAGCTTGGTGGACACGTGAAACATGATCTCCTTGTTGCGGAAGTTGCAGTACACAGACTCGGTCCCCGTCTGCCCGTGGGTCACGTCCAGGCCTCCGCGGAACCTGCCCCAGGCCCCCCAGGCCACGGCTCAGTCTCCAGCCCCGGCCAGGCCTCCTTGGGGCCAGGACGGGGGCTCCCTCCCTGCCCAAGATTACAGCCTGCTCATCCCTCCCTAATGCTCACCCCTTAAAGTCCTGCAGTTTGACCTTCTGGCCAAGAAATTCGAGGAACTCCACGAAGGCAGGGCTTTCCTCGTTGGTACTGAAGAGCTCCTCCTCGGAGGTCTGGGGACACAGAGGGCAGAGGTCATGGAGCTGCAGCACCTGGCCGCCCCTCCCCGCCGCCCCAGAGAAGGCTGGAAGGAGGACCTCTGGCAGCCCCGGGAAACTGAGTCCCTGGGGAGGTGCTCTCCCCGGCAAAGGTCTGAGGTCCCAGGTGTGGGGGGGGGGGGGTGCAGGGAGGAGGAGGAGGTGAGCACACCTGCCCAAGCTTCTGATAAATGACGCCAAACTTGAAGTTGTTGCTGATGACGTGTTCATCAAAGGTGACGATGAGCCGGGAGGCCTGAGGGGAGAGGACAAGGGGTGAACAGACTGCTTTTCCAGGTTGTCATTTACTGCTCTTACTATGTGCCAAGCACTGTGGCCGCATGCCACGTGCATCGTCTCATTTAATCCTCAGAACAAATGCATGAGCCGGACATTCTTGCTGCTCCCATTTTACAGATGGAGAAACCAAGGCTCAGAGCTTGTCTCAGGCCAACAGCTTGCAAGGCAGAGCTGGGACTTGAACTCCGGTCTGTTGGACTCCAGAGCTCAAGCTCACTGCTCCTGAGTTTTGCCTATAAACCCTCACCCCGACTCCATGCTACAACACCCAGCTCCCTCCTTGCTCCTCTGTAAACCCACCTCATCGGTCTACAACAGGCCAAGGCCCACCAACTTGCTGTGGGCCCTCAAGCCAGTTCCCTCCTCACTTTGGGCCTCGGTTTCCTCTTCTGTAACTGGGATGGAATCTAATTTCCGAGGCCCCTTCCTTCAGGGACGTTTCCCGGACCACATGACCCCTCAGGCACCGCATCTTGCTCTAGAATTCGGTCAGAGCCACAGGGTCCACATGTCTTTCAAGGCCCACCTCTTTCAGGAAGCCCCCTGGCTCGCTGAAGATAGAAGTCCCTACCCTTTTCCCACATGGTTACCGCGCCCGGAAGTGCAGCTGCTGTCTAGGCAGCATTGATGAAGGTGCCTGTGTTATTCTCTCTCACCAGGTCCCTCTGGGGTCGGAAGGCAAGGCCAGTGAAGGTTTCTGGCTTGGGAACACCAGTTGCCCTTGCAAGGGTCCCCAAATTACACTGAGAGTTTCCAGAGGTAAGGCACGCCCTTCCCCCACCCCCACCCCCCACAGTCCCGGCTGCCAACACTAGGTTTAAATGCAGACCTTCATTATCTGCTGTGCACCTCTGGGTAAGACACAGAACCTTTCTGGGCTCCAGTTCCTCTTCTATAAACTGTGGACTTCGCAGGGTTATTGTGAGGATTAAATGAGAAACTTAAGAAAAATACCCTGCACACTGCAGGTGCCCATAAATGCTCAGTGCCCTGCTCACCCACCCACCTTCAGTGAGCAGGGCCCAGGCCCACCATACCTTGGGGTAGAGCACAGGATAGAATCGATCCACATTCACATCTTCGCACACCAGCTGCAGGAGGAGATATGGGGGTGCCTGGAGGTGGGGACAGGAGGAGGGGGGGCCCTCTGGGCCTCCCAGGCCAAGTGGGGAGGGAGCGGGGGAGGCACGGTGCAGAAAGGAGAGGGAACCACCAAGGTGGAAGCAGTACTGTGGGCTCACTGCTGCTCAGAATGGGGTGTGGAGAGCTGGGGTCCCCCGTTTCTGAAAGTGCTCTGAAACAGTGCCGAAACACACAGGCAGGGAACCGGGCCCAGTACATGGACATCATGGGACATGTGAGAGGCAGGACCTCAGCGATGGGGCCACAGCACACAGGACCTGGCGCTGAAGATGAGAGCATGCTAAGCCCTCACTCTGTGTGCCCCCCCGCAGGGGTGTGCAAAGGGGGCCCCGCATGAAGGAGCAGAGGCCTCACCTTTGCCATCTGGACCACGTTGGGGAACTCGGTGAGGCAGGAGATGGGGATGACATCGTGGTATGTCCGGCACTTGGTCCTGGGAGGAGAAAGCCCGCGGTGAAAGGCTAGGCAGCAGGGAGGGAGGTGGGAGCCCCTCCACACTAAGTAAGACCCCAGGCCTGGCTCGGGCACTAACATGCTGTGCAACCTCAGGCCAGTCCTTGGCCCCCTCTGGGCCTCCGTTAGAAGAGTGGGTAAAATGAGACAGATTATAAGACCTCAGCCCTCCCTGCTGTCACAGGGCCCCTCACCCCACCCTCACCTGAGCAGCAGCCGCAGGTGCTCCTGGTCCCCGATGACATCATATTTGAGTGAGAAGACAAGGTGGCCCAGGGCAGCGTCCAGTGAGTAGTAATTGAAATGCTCCTGTGGGGGGCGGTAGAGGCCAGGGGAGTGGGTGAGGCTGAGCGTGGGGTTTCTGGGAACCAGACCGGAAAGCCGGCTCACTCCTAGATGGGGTCCTTCACCAGCAGCAGGTGTCCCGGCTAACAGCAGACTCTGCACCAGACAGACCTGCATTCAAGTCCCACTTGGCCACTTGCCAGCTGGGGAGCCTGAGAAGGTCACCTCACCTTCTGTGCCTCAGTTTCCTAGTATAGGGACTAGAAGGGAGGCCTCCTACTGTGGGATGGTGGCAGGGACTGAAAGGATAAAGTGCCTGGCACAGAGTAGGTGTTCAACGGACATTTATAGAAACCCCGGCTCTCTGGGTTCTCACCGGTTTCAGGACCCCATTTGGTATCTCCACATCTGTGTCCCAGCCCTGCCTTTCTTAGCACTGAGCACACAGTAGGGGCTCAATTAAAATATGTTGACTGACTGATTGCTCAACCTGTGGCCCCTGGAGCCAGGGCCCGTGGGAAACAGGAAGTGAAACATCTCATGAACACACTGGGCGGCTGACCGGGCAGGTTCCCACCCTCCTGCCTCATCGGAAGAAGCTGCAGGTGGGAAGGAATGGGAGAAATATCCCAGAGGCCACAAGGGGAAGCTGCTGCAGGGGCAGTTCCCCCAGAGAGGAGCCCCGGGCTGGTACCTCCAGGGGGGGAAGTCCCGAAGCCCAGGGCCAGGAGTGCTGGGAGATTACACCCCAGCCTGGCCTGGGCTCCCCCTGCCAGCCCCGACTCTGGGAGTGTGCAGGCTCCCCAGCCACACCCACCCCAGGAGTCATCCTGGAAGTCAGTCCTGTTTAAACATGAACACCTGTGCTCAGAGGGCAGGCAGAGAAGGAGGCAGGGGCCGGGGATGTGCTCAGGGAGAGTCCGGGCAGAGTCCCCCTCAGCCCTGCCGGGGCACAGAGTGTCGGAAAACCCCAAGCGCTTGGCACCATCTGCAGAGGGAGCGGCAGGCACTTGGCAAGGAGGGCTGCACCAAGTCCTCACGGTGGGGAGGTTCCCCAGACCCCGTGCCGCAGCCCAAGGAGCCCAAGGGGTGCAGTGGGAAAGTGGGCTCAGGCTCCCAGAAAGTCAGTCCCCAAGTCATCCTAACCTCCGCCTCTGCCAGAACAGGCCCCGGTGCTTCCCCAGTCACCCCACCTGGAGGCAGGCGGTGGCCCTGGCTCTCTCCCAGCCCCCGGGGTCCCCTCCGCTCCATGTTGCGAACCCGACTCTGGTTATCGTGCCCAACTTGTACCTCCCCAGATCCTTCTGTGCTCAAGGCACTTGCTCTGTCACTTGTCCTTTCTTGGCAAACTTTTCTGAGTGCCAACTATGTGCCAGGCCCACCCAGTCCCCCAGACCCCACCAGCTGCCAGGCCCCGCTAAGAGCCTCCGGACAGTGGGTGGCAGGATGCAGGTCTCTGAGCTGGAGGCAGAATCCCATGCCCTGTACTGGCTTTGTCCCAGGAAATGGCTCCTGAACCAGGACCAGGCCAATGCCTTGGGCCCAGACTGAGGTCACACAGCTCCTAACTCCCCAAGGAGTCACCCCTCCTCCCAACACACACATATGCACACACACACACACACGCCTAGCAACATGGCCCTTCCCAAAGCATGTCCTTTTAAAAATATGACATATAACTATAAATTTAAGATTTATAACATGTTACTTTGACACATTCATGTACTGTAGTATGATTGTCGTTGTAGCGGTATTTATCGCATTACATAATTATAGTTCAATATTGTTGTCTGTTCCCATAGCGTGTCTTGATGGAAGGTCAGCCAGAGCTAACTCAATTCTTAGCAGTTTCCTCTTCTGAAAGACTAGGCAATCCTGATCTCATAGAGTAATTAAGATGTGATAATCACAGCTAACATTCATCACGTACTTACCATGTGTCAGGCATGGTTTTCTAGGCTTCAATGTACTTCTATTACCTCGTTTTTACAGACAAGGAAACAGGCTCAGGAAGGTTAAATAACTTGCCTGAGGTCACACCATTAATAAATGGAGGAGCCCAGATTCCCACCCCGGCCTCGAGATCCTGGAGCCACGCTACAACCTGTCACCTCAGAGAAAACCGACGTAGAGACAGCACCTAGGGTGGAACCGGGCACATACAGGGTCCCAGCGTGGGACCCCCTCCAGCTCCCACAAACTTGCCCAGTCACTCTGGCCTGGAACCCCGCTGGGTGACACTCTGACAAGTTGGGACCAGGCAGGGTCCCTGCTCGGGGGCTGGTGTTGGGGTGAGGGTTGCATCAATCCAGGTCACGCCATGGCATTACTGTGTCTTCCCACCCGCCACCTCAAGCCACCTGAGGGCAGGGCCTGGGGAGGTTTTGCCTGCTGCTCCACACCTGGTGCCGTGAACAGGGCCAGGCACCCTCTGTGCTGGACGCCATTCTAAACCCTACCAGCGCCCTGCCATAAAGCCTTGCAACAACCTTCTGCGGTGGGTACCGCCATCACCTCCGTGTCCACAGCTGAGGAACAGGCACAGGGAGGTGAGTCGCTGGCCTGATGTCCCGTGCAGCAAGTGGCACAGCCAGGACGCAGACCCTGGTGGCGTCTCTGCTGTGGACTGTCACGCCGTCAGACTGCTTTTCGCAATCAGTGTTTGTTGAATGAATGAGCGAATCCACTATGCATGCTCCCTGAGACTCCAGCTCTGGGACTGTCACCCAGCCCCAGCCCGAGGGTTCTCTTCCTCCCAGGCCGAGACCCCGATACCTGCTGGAAGGGGAGCCAAGAACCCGCCTTCTCACAGCACCCACCTTGCCGAGAAAGTGCTTCCGGTAGATGCGGGCTGTGGGGTTGCACTCCAGCTTCACCTTGGTCGTGGGTGACTGCAGCGGCTCTGTCTCCGGGATGCTGGTGATTTCGTGGTTGGTGCCTTCAATCCAGTAGCCCCCAAACTGGGGCAGCAGGATGAGGGGGAAGGGCCCTTCTCGCCCCAGGACCTGAAGGGGGACTCGGTTGAGAGCCACCCACACTACTCCCCACCAGGGACCCCAACTCAGACCTAGGGACAACCCAGACACTGCACGGGTCCCAGACCACATGGAGCCTCCCCCCACGTCCTGTTCTCAAAGGATGGGGGTGGGGACGGAGAGCCAGGAGCAGGACCTTGGCAGAGAGGCTGAAATGTGTGGCTCAGAGGCCTTGGGTTCAAATGCGCTCTGAAGTCTTTGGCCTGTAAACCGAGTCTCTAACTGGGTAGACTCTGACAGGGCGGAGAACGGGGCACCCCGACTCCTGGG